AGAACATCCAGTGATATGAGAGGAGGAACATGTTGAGGGAGGAGCAACTCTGTCAAAGAGCAGAACAGAAAAGGACTCCCACTGTCACATACATTCAGTATGTAAACCAACATAACAGATAGTGTGTGGAAGATGCTGTCACTGCATCACTGGGTCATGTTTCCTTTGTTGATGATCACATTAAAAGGTAGGTTAAAGCAGGAAGAAGAAATGTCTCTTAAGGATCTGGTTGCACCTGTCCAGGGTGTCTCCTGCCTTCGCCCTAAGTTGGATGGGATAGGCTCCAGCCCCCCCGCGACCCTAGTGAGGATTAAGCAGTGTATACATAATAGATGGATGGATGGATGGATCTGGTTGCTAGAAATTACCTTGAAGTTTAACATTTATCTCTTCATTTAGGTGTCAGCTGTCAACAACTTACTGCAGTGAACGATGAAGAGTCCAGTTTAGAAGGCAGCACTGTCACTCTGACCTACAAATTCTCCCAAACTGTAAGTGCTGGTGATTATTTCTTCTGGTATCAACAACATCAAGGAAAACCTCCAGAGTTCCTCATTAATCACTTTGGAACACAAAATAAAACAACAGATGGACTCTCTGCTACAGTGAGTGGTGATAAAAACCAAATCACTCTGAAGATCTCCTCTGCTGCAGTGACAGACTCTGCTGTGTACTACTGTGCTGTGAGGCCCACAGTGACAGGAAACAGCAAAACTTTGTACAAAAACCTTTGGAGCAAAGACAAGAGAAAACTCTACAACATCCACTAGAGGGAGACACACTCTGCTACACTTCTATGGTTTGTTCAGATACAAACTGTCTCTACTTATGAGACGACATTGTGATAAAGAATGATAGAAGTAAAGATAATGTGATGAGTGTCCTCCTCCTGACTGCAGAGGTGCTGCATGAACATCAGATGAAACACAACTAACTGACAGTGAACATCAGGTCCAACATTTCAGCAATACAAACATGGAAAACCTGGTGTTGACTTGGTTCATGTCACCTCTCGTAGCTCTGTATGTTTCTAACAAAAACACCTGGACAACATTTTTAAGTGTCACAGTTTGCATTTTCTTCTAGCTCAAGTTTAGAGTTTAACATTTCAGTGATATAAATCTACCTGATAGCTGGATTTTTTCAGTTTCCAACATGAAGCCATTTGAGATGCAAACTAGATCTGAAAAATCTGATATGAACAAAGTTTGATATTACAGTTTCAAACAGTATTGGTGGACTGTTGTGAAGCAACATTTGTTTCAAATAAAAACATCTTTACTGTGACATTTTTCTAAAGGATGTCATCTCAGTTAGGAAGAAAACAAACTTTATGAGTAAATTCCAAGAGAACACATTGGAAGATGTTAGTAGAAGTTCTCAGGTGTTTGTATCATGTCACATAATATGATCAGAATTAACTGCTGTTGGATGGTTTCAGGATCAGCTGAAATGTTTCTATAAATGACAGACAATCACACAACAAATCCTCTGACAACCAAACTAACATCTGACAGACATCAACCACTGAACATGTGTGAAAAATAGAGAATCCAGTCTGTAAACTAGAACATATGGAAAACAAGTAGAACCTAGAAAATCATTTACAAAACACAGTCAATAATTGATGACTGACGGATGATCAATCAGTATGTTAGTGAGTAAATGAGAGCAGCAGCAGAGACAAACACACTATTAGAGCTGTGAGAGGAAGGAGGAAAGGATGAAGGGAGGAGCTAAACTGGGACTCAAGTACAGAAAACACAAACTTTCACAGTGGAGTTTGATCCAGAAAACAGACAGATTGTCTTCATCTTCAAGATGCTGTCAGTGAACTTGAGTCTGTTTGTCACTTTGTTTCTGCTCACAATAAGAGGTAGGTGACATATTTAACATGAACAGAGTTTGACTGAGAAAAACTAGCAGATCACAAAGTTCCATCTATTCTACATGGAATAAAACCCTATAGCTGCTGATTGTTCTCCTTTAATCAATTATCTTTATTGATTGATGTCTTCCTCTGTATGTTGTGTTTTTCCCCAGGGTGTAAAGGAGAAGACAAAGTGACACAGCCACCAGGAGATGTCATTGCTGCTGAAGGAGACACAGTTACACTGAATTGTACTTTTGACACCATTGACCTAAGTCCAACTCTCTTCTGGTACAAACAGGAAGTAAATGGTTCCCCACAGTATATGATGAAAAGTTTCTCAAAGTCTGTGGATAAAGCTCCAGAGTTCCAGGAAGACAGACTTCATACTGGAATCCAGGATAAGTCAGTTCCTCTGAAGATCCAGAAACTTCAGCTGTCTGACTCTGCTGTGTACTACTGTGCTCTGAAGCCCACAGTGACAGGAAACAGCAAAACTCTGTACAAAAACCTTTGGAGCAAAGACAAGAGAAAACTCCACAACATCCACTGGAGGGAGACACACTCCGTTAAAGCTCTGACTTGTGACTTGTTGGACTGATGACAAAGAACAACAGAAAAATGAAGCAGTGAATATCAGAGACAGAGCTGAGAGTTGTACTACAAAGCAAGATTAATGGGTTAGCAAGGTATGTTGAGCTTAAAGCCAGAGTTTTCAGTAACACGAAGGTGGCTCTCTTTTTACCCTTAGGTAGCAGGCGAATATATATCATACACCAACACAACGACTGGTGATGCAGAAATCACATAAATATGTTTTTATGTTTGGCTCTGATTTTCTGTCAAGTCCGTTTACACTGCTGGTACTGCAGATGAGAAAATGGATTATTCTCCTGGTATTTATTACAGAGGATATTCAGTCAATAACATTAATTTGGCTCTGATTGGGCCAAACAATAAAGTGATATCCTGCATTATGGGACAGTGTCAAGCCTAAATGTACTTCAGTACGAGATCATATTTAAACGTATGAAGTTTAAAGTTTAATTTTAACTTCCAGCTGTCAGTTGGAAATAAATCCGTAAAATATTATATATGAGCACGTTTAAGCTGCATGGTGGAGCAGTTGGTAGCACTGTTGCCTCACAGCAAGAAGGTCGCTGGTTCGCATCCCCGTGAGGACACCCGGGATCTTTCTGCGTGGAGTTTGCATGTTCTCCCCGTGCAGCGTGGATTCTCTCCGGGTTCTCCAGCTTCCTCCCACAAGGTCCAAAAACATGTTGAGGAACTTGGCATACGCAAACAATGAACACACCCAGGTGTTTGCAATCAGATGAGTGGATATAAAAGCGTGCATAAAATGGTACAGAAGATACCATTAACAACAATGGCAGCTTTGGCACCGTTGGAGGATATTGCCAATGGAGCAGTGCGAAAAGAACGGGTTTCAGAGACCGAGAGGAGTTTTTGGCTTAGGACAACAACTGGCTCATCAGCCGCTTTAGGTTCCCGAGGGCAATCCTCTTACAACTATGCGCTGAGCTGCAACCATTGTTGGGGTGCAACACGGCCAGGAGCCATGCCCTACCTGTGCCCATACAGGTTCTGACCACACTGGGCTTCCTGGCCACAGGGTCATTTCAGAGGGAGCTGGCCGACCGATCGGGACTGTGCCAGTCGACAGTGAGCAGAGCCATGCCAGCTGTGTGGGATGGAATTATCCAAATGTCAGCAAGGTATATCAAATTCCCATACACTGCAGTTGAACAGGCCGACATAAAAGCGCAATTTGCAGCGAGAGCCGGTTTTTCTAATGTAATCGGAGCTATCGACTGCACACACATTGTAACAATTCACCTATTAATTCCGAGGTGACGGTGTCACACTCTATATAAAGGAGACGGGCGGATCTATGCCTCAGCAGGGGTGAAAATCAGGCACTCTCATTCATTTGTTTTGGCTCAGAGCACAGCCTTTTACTTTACACACTTTACTTTTTTACCCCGCTCACATACACAAACGCATCCCCAGACACAACATAGAAAAACGACACGACTGAAAAAGAGTTCATTAAGTTTGGCGACCAGCTCATGGCCCGTCCGGCTTCCTATTTAAAGTTCAGCCACCACCTGCACGGCTCTGCACGGCCGCAAACAAATGCACGCCACAGCACTCGTGGCAGGTGGCCGATGCCATCAACAGCTGGCCCAACTCACGGCTCTGCGCTTCAGCCCTCCTTTGAACGACAGCTCCGGTCCTCGGTAACTCCGCGAAGCGGTCCGTCCTCCCGCTCCAACACCTTTTGTATTCCAAAAAGTTCAACAAGCAAAATCCGTACCCCGCGGCCAGGTAACTCCGGGAAACCTCCAAGTTGGCGTGCGTCGTCATCCCACTACGTGCCACCGTGCGCGTGCACTGCACTCACCTAAATAGAGGTTCATGCCAAGCCACGCCCCCAACATACATTTGATTCGATAAACAATACCTGTGACCCCAGTGACAAAATACATCTACAATATTTCACAGACAATCATAAGGCATCAATTCACCCCTGCTGGGTGCCTACGGAGTGAGGACAGACCGGGCCTTTACAACATTGCTATAAAGGCGCCATTACAAGATGAATTTTTTTATGTCAACAGGAAGCATTTTCATTCCATCAATGTACAGATCATCTGTGATGCGCAAATGCAATTAAGTAACATTGTTGCAAGATGGCCTGGCTCGACACATGATTCCTTCATTCTGACCAACAGTATGGTTGGGAACAGGCTAAGCTGGCATGGTGCGGGATGGGTTGCTTCTTGGTGAGTAAATAATTTAATTGTCCTAATATTAATCCCCCTGACATGCGTTGAGCCTGTGTGCTCCCGAATATCATCCTGTTTTCACTGCATCATTACTCGTTAGTGGTTTAAGTTAGTGAATTGCTGTTTTGCTGCCTCAACTACAGAGTCAGCGCTTTCCAACAAGCCCATTACTGTCTCTGTGTAAAGTACATATGTCAAAAAACACATGCATAATGTTTAAAGTGACTTGATCAGCCTCACATTTTCCCAGCGCACAACTGCATTCACTCACGATAGTGTGTGATCCATGTTAGTGGTGTGTTAAATGACCTAATGACGAGTGTGTTTAATTGACCCCAGGTGACCGTGGCTACCCACTAAAAACATGGCTGATGACCCCTCTCACCAACCCCCAGACTGACCAAGAGCGGAGGTACAATGATGCCCTTTCATGCACGCGATCAGTCGTGGAGCGGGCAGTTGGCATGCTGAAGGGGCGATAGCGCTGTCTGGACCGGATGGGGGGTGTACTGCTCTACAGAGCATTGTGCCGCATTGTGATGGCATGTGGCGTCCTTCACAACATGGCACACCGGCATGCCATCCCACTGCCAGAGCAGCACATCCCCCTGTACTTGTGGATGCCAATCCTGCCCGGGAGGCCATTCGGGCCCGGCAACATGTGATATTAACCATATAAAAAGGCAAGGACACAGAATTTACTTGTTTGCAAGTACATTTAATGTTTTATTAATGTCTGTAAAGACATTAATTAATTGGTCCAAGCACTCATTAATGCCGCTGATTGCCCTCACGATGTCCTCCTGTGAATCCAGCACAGCGCGGGTGAAGACACGGCCAGTCGGACAGGCATCAGCAGCTGGCTGTTGTGGCGGACCGGAGGATCGGCTGATGCCGGGGAGGCTGGAGGAAGCCCCCGGGTCTGTGGCACGAGGCTGGGACTGCGCCTCACTGTCATCTACTGCCTCATTGTCTGTTGGCAAATAATAAATTGAGTAATTAAACATGAAACAAAGTCTTTGATTTCCTCTTTGATATCCTGGCATGATTACGCATGAACCTGTATCATGTTTGGCTGTGAGCAGATTATTGTATGAGCCGTATAATGAATCTATTCAAGACACATGTCATGGATGCACTGGGATGCATCCTCAGTGATGTATCCTGGGGTCATCGGGTGTTTCGGGTCTCGCAACATTATACACCCTCACCCAGGTGACCCAGCTGGGGTTGATCAAGTCCCGACATGCGTCCCAGTAGCAGTCCACGGATCAGCCCTCTTTATCCAAAGCCACCTTGTGGCCTTCTCTGCGGCTTCACATGCAGATTGGATGGCTCTCCTCTTGGCCGTCCCCGTAAAGCCCAAACGACTCAGAACTTTGCAGAGTGAGCGCCCTGCAAAGCCTCTGCAGCCGACTTTATGGGCTCACAATAGGTTTTCCAGCCTCTCTCCCTGCACTCCTCCACCAGTTCCTGGTACTTCGTGCGTTTCCTCTCGTTGGCTTCCTCAATGCGCTCTTCCCAGGTCACCGTAAGTTCCTGGATGATCAGGTATTTGGAAGCCTCTGAGGTGATGACCATGCGGAGGTTTGTTGTTGTTATGTGCTGGGGGAACTTCAGCTGCTTTCCCAGGTCGGCCTGCAGCTGCCAGTCAGAGGCCATGTGGAGCAGGCCCATAGGAAGTTGTGAGCGTGCCCGGGGTTTCTCTCCAGGTTTAACAAAGAGGACTGCCCTCCTTGGAGCATGATGATGTTTGCTGGTGCTGATGGTTGTGGCTAGGCTCTCAGCTATTGCCCTAAGCACCTGGTCGTGGCGCCAGCGATAGCGACCATCAGCCAGAGCCTTTGGGCAACAGCTGAGGAGATGTTCTAGTGAGCCTCTTCCCGAGCACAGAAGGCAGGAAGGTGCCTCGCTCTTTCCCCAGACATGGAGGTTCGCTGGGCTTGGCAGGGTGTCATAGACAGCTTGGACAAGGAAACGGACTCGATGGATATCCGCCTGCAAGATGTTACTCCAGGTGATCCTGCGCTGCAGTGCACTCTCCCACCTGGTCCACGCTCCCTGCTGCCAGAGTCCTGCTGCTCTGCTCAGCCGCTCTTCCTCCACGCCTGCACGGACCTCTTCCTGGAGCAGTTGGTGTCTCTGTTTGCCCCGAGCCTGGCTGACCAAGGGCTTTGGGAAGTAGCCCAAGCCCGCTCTGCCTGTTGCCACAGTGCCTACCAGCGCCTTTTGTCTCAGACGAGACTCTGCCACCTCCACTGCTGTCACTGCCTTCCACTTCCTCCCTGTTCTCACCTCAATGCCGGCCGATGACACCTTGCAGTCCCTGGAGTCCCTGTACTGTAGGGCTTCTCTGGTGCGTGCTACCTTAAATTCTTCAGTGAGGCCACTGAAGGGCAGCTGCAAGATGTTACTAGTCCCATACAGTGCAGCGCTGGTGAGGCTGCATGGAAGGTCCAGCCACCTCCGAAGAAAGCCACTGATTTTCCTTTCGAGGGACTCTACAGTTGTTATTGGGACTGCATAGACCAGCAGGGGCCACAGGACACGGGGTAGGATGGAATGCTGGTAGATCCAGGCTTTGAATCTACCTGGCAGACCAGACTTGTCTACCTTGGTGAGCCAAGCTTCAAGTTCTTTGTTGGACTTCTGGATAGCCACAGAATCCTTGAGGCTGGAATCAAGAGTTTTCCCAAATTCTAAACAGGTTGCTCGGTGATGGTTGGGATGAAATGAATAAATTTGTGAGTTACACAAATACACAATATATATTTACCTTACCTTAACTGTGGGATTGTAATACTTGCTCCAAATCTAATTTTACTGATCTTTAAGACTCTAAAATTCATGCAATGGCAAGAAAAGACTGCATTTTCTTACAGAAAACATGGATACAATCATATAAATATACCTACTTCAATTTCTGTCTCTGATGATGATGAGATGTTGTGGAATATTATTTATATCCCAGGATCTAAATATAACTGGAGAGCCAAAGCTCTGCTGCTGAAGTACACACTCTATACCCTTGGTTTTTATGTCTCACATCTACAAAAACAGGATAAAGTTCAACCAAGTTTTTTTCTGCTCATGGAACAGCAGGTTCAAAAATAGCTGCAACTTTCCTTCATATGGACGACCCAGTTTCATGGCATAACTCACTTCAAATTGTTCAGTGATGGAAGAACACAATTCTGAAGAACATCCAGTGATATGAGAGGAGGAACATGTTGAGGGAGGAGCAACTCTGTCAAAGAGCAGAACAGAAAAGGACTCCCACTGTCACATACATTNCAAGTCCAACTCTCTTCTGGTACAAACAAGAAGTAAATGGTTCTCCACAGTATATGATGAAAAGTTTCTCAAAGTCTGTGGATAAAGCTCCAGAGTTCCAGGAAGACAGACTTCATACTGGAATCCAGGATAAGTCCGTTCCTCTGAAGATCCAGAAACTTCAGCTGTCTGACTCTGCTGTGTACTACTGTGCTCTGCAGCCCACAGTGACAGGAAACAGCAAAACTCTGCACAAAAACCTTTGGAGCAAAGACAAGAGAAAACTCCACAACATCCACTAGAGGGAGACACACTCTGTTAAAGCTCTGACTTGTGACTTGTTGGACTGATGACAAAGAACAACAGAGAAATGAAGCAGTGAATATCAGAGACAGAGCTGAGAGTTGTACTACAAAGCAAGATTAATGGGTTAGCAAGGTATGTTGAGCTTAAAGCCAGAGTTTTCAGTTCCACGAAGGTGGCTCTCTTTTTACCCTTAGGTAGCAGGCGAATATATATCATACACCAACACAACGACCGGTGATGCAGAAATCACATAAATATGTTTTTATGTTTGGCTCTGATTTTCTGTCAAGTCCGTTTACACTGTTGGTACTGCAGATGAGAAAATGGATTATTCTCCTGGTATTTATTACAGAGAATATTCAGTCAATAACATTAATTTGGCTCTGATTGGGCCAAACAATAAAGTGATATTCTGCATTATGGGACAGTGTCAAGCCTAAATGTACTTCAGTACAAGATCATATTTAAACGTATGAAGTTTAAAGTTTAATTTTAACTTCCAGCTGTCAGTTGGAAATAAATCCGTAAAATATTATATATGAGCAAGTTTAAGCTGCATGGTGGAGCAGTTGGTATCACTGTTGCCTCACAGCAAGAAGGTCGCTGGTTCGCATCCCCGTGAGGACACCCGGGATCTTTCTGTGTAGAGTTTGCATGTTCTCCCAGTGCAGCGTGGATTCTCTCCGGGTTCTCCAGCTTCCTCCCACAAGGTCCAAAAACATGTTGAGGAACTTGGCGTACGCACTTATCCACGCTAACGTTCAGATGTATCAAGAGTGAAATGATCGTGGAAATGCGCGGTCCTCCACGTCAACTTGTTGACTGGCGTACGCACGTTTCTATTGCTTTTGAGCCGTTGGCGACACTTAGAGGCGATGCTGGGAATATAAAAATGTAAAAAACAATGTAAAAAAAGGTCATTCCTCTAAGTGATGTGCTCATCAGAGATACACAGATAAACAATGAACACACCCAGGTGTTTGCAATCAGATGAGTGGATATAAAAGCGTGCGTAAAATCAGAATCAGAATCAGAATGAGTTTTATTGCCAAGTAATTTTTACATCACCAGGAATTTGACTTGGTCCATTGGTGCAAAGAAGCAGAAAACAAATACCAAAATAAAATAAAATAAAATATTAACAATACCAAAAAAAAGGCAGATGTGAGATAGAGAGAAAATATATTTATATACATATATATACACTTGCTTATGAGCAGTGCAAAATGAGCAGTAGTGCAAGTGACCCTGGGGGGAGGGTGTTTTCAGTGGGGGTCAGTGGGG